ATCACTACCAACACTAGATTCGCAATTCCCAACCTTCTTTGAGCTCGTACGGCCAATCTATCTCGATTCTTGAGGGCAGGAAGGCACTTGCTTGATACTGTGCAAATTGAGGTCTGATTCCATAGTTTAGCCTATACCTACCTGGATTTCTACCTTCTATGTATTTTACCTGCTAAATCCCTTACCAGGCTCGGCTGCATGTCCTTTCTCTCCTTGACCCATCATCCCAGCTGTTTTATCATCAGATCCACCGGATCCATGGCGTAATCTTTATGGTCACCATATTATGGGTACACTTGTCGGGATCCAGGTCGCTTTGATTCACCTCACTGCAAATGCACACTCGTCATGGATCTGAGCTCTCCACTCCCCCACCATTGTCTTATGACCGCCTGCGATCTTCATCACTCCACGAAAGCTCGAGATCTACTGTATCCACCATCCCCATATTCTGGATCCAGGTCACTTCGTTTGGGATCCTCACCTCCTTGGATCCGGACTCGGAAGTATGGGATCTGGGACATACCGCGGTGGATCTTGTCTTCTCGTTGGCCGTTGAGGCCAGATCCACCTTCAGATGACACCTACCATCCTTCCTTCATAAGATCCCCACTCGATCCACCAGTACATAGTATATCCAATGTCCCCTAAGTGAACTCAGGTGAGGGTGGATCCGGGTCCCCCCTTGGTGGATCCTGCCTTCCCATACGTTATCCATACCAGATCCATCGTCGGCTCACACGGAATGCGGCTTATCATAAACCAATCCACCTCGGGCAACGTGGACCCCTGCCTGGCAATCCAAATCCTCTCTAACCACTTGAAACTGTCACTGATTCGGGATAGTGACCCCTTGCTAGGTCCATGCTCTTTTTTTTTTGAGAAAGCACTTCACCACACCCGGCTTTGAAGACTCGGAGGCTTGCGGAGCAGCTTCAGCAGGGGCAAGCTCTGCTGTTAAAACTACTCCCGAGGCTTCAATCGTCTTAGAGGTCGCAGTAGATGACGAAGCAACCTTGCCTGATGGGACGGTGTTATCCGATTCATCATCTTCGTCATCCGAGCCGAACATGAGTCGAAAATCCTCAGCCTCACGCAAGGCCTCTTCGGCAGCGCGTATATCTGCTGGAGAAGGAGAGCTCATCGACGCAGATGGCTTGGCCACGTCGTGGGCACCCTGAGGTGGAGACGAAGGCGCGTCAGACGGTTCGGAGACATCGTCGTGAGCCCCGGAGCCCACATCTTTACCCGAAACCTCGGTAGTATTACCTTGAGCCGACGGGACCCCACCCTTGAACCAACGTCAACCATGTCCACGTCACTCTGGTCACCGCTGAGGTCTACAACGGCGGGAGTCGGGGATGACGGTGGCTTGCGAGGTGGCGACTATGAACGAGGAGACGATGGCACAGACTGCGATCGAGTCTTCGAATGACGCCGAGGTGGCTTGCCAGGAGAACGAAGGCGGGTCTTCTGGTATTTCTTCTGAGCCGCTTGCTTCCAAGCCTTCGGGCTGAACAGCGAATGACGTACAGACTTGGGGGTTGAAGGGTCGGCAGGTGGCGCATCACCGAGACCAGCAGCAGCCATAGACGTACTAGCCTTGTCCGTCGGGATGTGAGCCTTATCTTCGTCGAAATCGTCCGACTTGGCATCCGACTCCTTGCCACCTGGTCGAAGGTGCTTGGGGCGTTTTTCATGAGCCACTTGGTGAGCAGCCTGCGCCAGAGCTGCAGGGGGCGCTCGGGGGTCATGCGAAAACGCGGCAGTAGACTGTATGCGCTGCAAAGCAACCAATGTCTCCTGGTCCGAGTCCAGAGCGTCCAGATCCAGTTCGCCCGCGATGAGAACTGTCACAGGAGATTGTGAATGAACGTTAGTCGCTGAGCCCACGGTGGGAAGAACAACATGTGGAGCGTACCATCAACAGCCAGACGCAGGAATGCTGGACCCATCCCGGCCAAACTCACGTGTGCACGGAGAGTTCGGTTGACTTAGAGAAGGTGGGTGTTGCGGGTTTGCTGATTTTCGAGGACCTTGAGCGTGTCGTTGTCGATATACTTTCCCTTGGAAAACTTGACCAAGAGGAGATGAAGTTGACGAGTCTGCTCGGTGTTCGCGCCAATGGAGAAGTGTACACTTCGCGTTCGCGGACCAGCTTCTTGTTCAAGGTGGCGATACACGCGTCCCGCGCTTGGATCTCGCAGTGCAGACGCTTCAGGTCCTCAGAATGTTGCTCCATGGAAGCCTGAACGCTCGCGAGAATGGCATCATTTTTGGCGTTGGACTCGGGAAGAAGCTTGACGTCCTTGCGAAGAGATTCGACTTCAGCGTAAGCAGCCTTCAGGTACGCCTCCGCGTTCTCCCGAGCCATGATTTCGGGTGCCACCGAACGTACGGCGGCAGCAGCCTCGGTCTGGGCGGCCCGCAACTGACGCTCCAGGCTGACAACTCGGTCGGGCAAGGCCGTCAGTGCATCGGGGAGAGGCTGTACGGTAGCGAGAACCTCGTCGAAGCCCATTGCAGTCTCGAGACGACGTTGAGTGCGAACATCGCCGTGAAGGGGAGTTGCAACGTTGAGCTGCACTTGATGACGAGCCATCGCGGTCAGGTACGGGAATAATCGATGTCATCATGTTCATGTAATCAACCGACGCTTCCGTACTCTCAGGCCAGCATGACGCGCAACGAATCCTCGGTGAGTGGTGGAGTACCACCAGTAGACGCACGCGGATCAGCAGGAGCCATCTCCGTGGATTCAGCAACGACAGGGTGTGCCGCAGGAGCTGCGGCAGGAGTTGAAGAGACCGGGAACAGGAAACAGCAGAGTTCCAGCCGATGACGCTGCCGTAGGAAGCAACTGGATAGACTGAGGGTCAATCAGTTCCTCGGTGTCGCCCTCCTGAGAATAAGACGAGTAATGTATGGTGATGAGCAAGGCGCCGATGATTCAAGAGGAAGATGAGCTGACGTACCTCCAGCTGTTCACGTTCGCGACGTCGGCGAGGATTGAGACGCTGAAGCGCGTTGGTCACGGCTCGATTCAAACGCTTGGACATGCGGTGACTGGATGGTGAATTGGAGAATGAAGAAATCCACAACGGGCACCAGTACCGTGGCTTCCATTGCAACAGGGACAGTTGTGGTGTAGTGATTTCTCCATAGTTGCGGATAATCGCCCTCCGACAAAGACGCGACACCGCCCAAGATGTTCAAGCGACGAACCCTCGGTCATGCGATGTACGGTGACGCCAAGGTGCAAGGGACACGACGGCGTCAGTACCGAACTCTCAACGAATACTGGATACAGCCCATATGTCACTGAATCCAGGCTGTCCTTATTAGTAACATTGGACTGGCAGGATTCGCATTCAGCGGCCAAGAACTGACCATCTACGGTACGAACCCTCGGTGTCGGTTGGGATGAGATCGCGGAAGACTCAGCGACCCTCGGAAGACACGTTCCCTATCTGGGACAGGGCGCGGGCCGTTAAAGGTACTCATGCGACGGTGCACACGACGCTTGACATGCAAGAAAATCCATAACGGATCATTGTTCACTTGATATTTGTGTACTTGATTAGGACTTCTTATTAGGAATAGACCCGAAAGGGTAGACATAAATACAGAACAGAATTTCCACTCAAGCGCACAGAGCGACGTCCGGCTTCAAGGTAAGCGTCTGGTCAAGCTTGTTTGAGTGTGTTATGCCTGTCGGCGAGCTCGAAGCTCTGTAGCGAGAATTCATCCGGCAAGGCCAAGAGACTGTGTGTGTATTGACCGATTACTATCGGGAGGTTTTACGTGACGGCTTATTGTTGCCTATTTGCACGACTGGGATTGCTTATATTGCATCCTTTTTATATTTCCAACCGAGTGTTGAACACTCGGTGCCCTCGTAAAAGGCTTACCCGTGCCTGGTACCCTTCCGCTGTTGGGACTACGACTATTCATAACACCTATTAGCTTTGCTCGTGCAAGAAGCGTGCTCCTTTTTTTACAAGCTGGCCTTTTTAACACAAGCAAATCTCCAAAAAGTGGAGGACTGCCGAGCGAGTTGGATTTCACCCCTTCCTTCCTAATTCGTACTTTTATGGTCGGCTTACAAATCCCAAGTAACTCATTTCGTGGTTATTAGGGGGGGTCGAACATTGAAAGCCACACTCTTTCCGAAAATTGGAAAATTGGTGGAGCGTGTTGACGACCATGGCCGCTCTTCCGCCAGTAGCTCGCCTTTCGGTCGCGCCCATGGTACGTCGTCGCTTGGCAACCGTGCATTGTCGATAGCGGAGCTGACTACTGCGTGTTGCCGCAGATGGATTGGACAGACCGTCATTATCGCTTCATGATGCGTATGATCACCAAGAAGACGCTGCTGTTCACTGAGATGGTGGTGGACCAAACTGTAAGCCGACAAAAAAATCTGCATCAATTAGTCATTGAGATACCGGTAACCAACTACATGTAATTGGATGCTCTTTGGATCGTCGACAGCTGCTGTACCAGAGGAAAAACCTCGACTACTTCCTGGGGCACGACCCCGCTGAAGCCCCCCTTGCCCTGCAGCTTGGCGGCAACAGTGTTGAGGACCTAGGTGGTAAGCTCTATTTCTACAGTAAACGTTCCATTGTGTATTGGATGCTAATGTTGCTGCACTGGTCAACTCTAGCCGCAGCACACCTGAGCCAGTCGTACGGCGGCTTTTGCGAGATCAACCTTAACACTGGGTGCCCTAGTGCGCTCGTGTCCAGTCGCTGCTTCGGAGCTCGCCTGATGCTGGAGCCGGAACGTGTGCGGGACATTTGTGATAGTATGCGGCACAGCGTTGCACTGGCATCGGAGGGAAATCCAGACCACCCGACGGCCGAAGTGACAGTCAAATGCCGCATCGGCGTCGACGATTGCGACAGTTACGACGAGCTGCACCACTACGTGGCCGCTGTGGCTAGTGCCGGTGTGCGCCACATTATTGTTCATGCTCGCAAGTGCCTACTTAAAGGTTTGAGTACTAAGGACAACCGCACCATCCCGCCGTTACGCTATGAGGTCGTGTACAGGTTAAAACAGGACTTTCCTGAGCTGTCCTTCACGCTCAATGGTGGTGTGAAGAGTATTCAGCATGCGCGAGAATTACTGAACACCACGAATGTGGACGGTATAATGATCGGCCGCGCAGCGTACAATACTCCCTGGAACTTTCGCGACGCTGACCGGCTGATCTTCAATGCTGAGCGCAATCCAAATCTGTCGCGCCGCGAGATAATCGAGCGGTATTTAGAGTATGCCGAGGATCTGCAGGCGAAATGGGGGTCCACGGAGCCACTGAGTGACTCCCCCTACACAATGGCCACGTCCGCTCTTATGAAGCCGCTTCTGTCCCTCTTCAAGTACGTAATTCAATCTTGTACAGTTTCTTTCAAGTTTCTTACGACTCGTTGTGATAACGTGAATTGGTGCATCGTAGTGGCGAGTTTGGAGGTAAAGCGTTTAAGCGAGAAATTTCTGCGCAATGGTCGAAGAAGGGCCCCCGGCCTGAGCTGCGTGAGATGATCGAAAGTGCCATGAAGGTTCTTCCAAGTGAAGTAGTTGATGCGCGTGTTGAGGACGAGCTTGTCCAGCAGCAGGCTAAAGAAGCAAACTGTAGCTAAGCAGAGGCGGAGATCCGCACAATATATCATACCATAGTCTACAGCATTTTTCTCCACTAACGTTATCCTACAGTAGCTTGCTCCTGCTGTTCCTGCACGGCGAAGTACTCCAGGGCTTCATCAACAATAGTGTACACATCGTGTGGTGTTTGAGTGCGCGACATACGATCGCGTAGCTGCCGCGCATTAGGGACGCCTTTCAGATACGAGCCATAGAACTTCTTCATACGAGGGAATCCAACGAGGCCGGGGTCGGCCAACAACTTCTGAAAGAGCTGCGTATGGCGACGGATCACTTTCAGTTTATCTACTACAGGCACATGGGACGTATCCGGGTAAGCCCTGGAAAATCACCGGTTTCCCAAAACAACGCGCCGTCCAAGCATACCGCTCGTCGACTCCGAACTCGACGACTTTTTTGCTGTGCTTCAACCCAGACTTTTAACGTCTCCATTGCCAAGAATGAGCGCCGGAGATCCTACCAATTTAGCCAACGCCACAACTTCACCGATTACATCCCAATGTGCCGGGACTTTAGACATCTCGTCGCGCGTTCGCCCATGAATAGTAAGTACCTCTGGATCTGTACCCAATAAGCGCAGTATCCAGTCCGTGTAGTCGATGTGGTGGAAGCCGATGCGCGTCTTGATAGACACTGGCAGGTTCCCGGCGCCGCGTTTACAAGCAGCCACAATGTCGACCGCCAGGTCCGGCTGCAAGATTAGCGCAGCACCACTGCCTTGACTGTTCACGTTGGTCTCGGGGCACCCCATGTTAATGTCGATTCCGTCAAAGCCCAGATCACGCACGATCATGGCAGACTGGCAATAACACAGGGAAGCAGACGGTCAGTATGTCGTCTACAGTATACTTCATCAGAGATATCAACCTCGTAGAACTGCTCGGGCTTCGAACCGAAGAGTTGCGCCACCACGGGCCGTTCCTGCTCCGCATACTTTAGCGTGGTCATCATGCGGCGGCGCGAGTCCGGATCGTGCGTCAATGCCTCGCAGCTGACAAACTCGGTCCACATTACTGATGGCTTGGCGATCTCGCTGATGAGGCGGCGGAAAGCGGTGTCCGTCACGTTCGCCATGGGCGCCACGCAGTAGAGCGGTCGCGAAAGTCCTTGCCAAAAGGAGCTCATACTTTTTTCTGTGCGAAGATACATGCCTGGACACGCTTCTATTTACCGCTTCCTTACCGAGTAACCTTTTTTCCCGCCTCCTTACGGAGTAGCCTGTCCGTCTGTCAATAAGTCCGTCCGGCTCCTTTCTTGCTGCTTTTTCCTGCCTTTTCGCATGGCTACAGTCGGCCTGCTAATACAGTTTGCTCCCATCTGACCGCGCCTATCTTTCTGACTCGACCTAACTATGCAAAAATTACAAATATATCCAAAAGCGTCACACAATTAACTCGCGCCCTGACACAATCTCTCCGCTTCTATTTACCGCTTCCTTACCGAGTAACCTTTTTACCGCTTCCTTACCGAGTTACCTGTCTGTCCGTCCGTCCGTCGCTTTCCTTCCTTTCTGCTTTTTCCTGCCTTTTCGCATGGCTACACCCGGCCTGTCTCATACAGCTTCCGCCCATCTTACCGACCGCGCCTATCTTTCTGACTCGACCTAGCTGTGCCAAAACTACAAAATATATCCAAAAGCGTCACACAATTAACTCGCGCCCTGATTGGGCAATACCTGCCGACCTGCGACGCTGACTGGATCTGTCGCACGATCAGACCCGCCTCTCGCCCTCGCGATTGGACGTAATGTAAATATTTCTGCCGAGCACGAAACGCATCGATTGGTTGCAAACAGCCAGGCGAGCTGCGCAGATACCTGATTATTGACATTCAGCTACGCAAAACCTGTCGTGAGTACTGCAAATCTGGCACTGTAACGACTTTTTCCCAAAGCTCTGCGATGTTATTTTCCGCACACGTTTTGAACGATATTATTATCGTTAATTATTTTTATTATATTAGGCTTCACGACCTTTGCGCTAACAGCACCCGGGAACCGCACTGCATGCGCGCATCGTACCAATGTGGTAGTGTTGAAAGTCACTGTTATTGCTTAAAAGTATATTTTGCTTAAAAAAATGTAAAAACATTATTTAAGGGATCCCAAACTTTTTAATAAAATTATCTTTGTTTAAAAAATGGCCGTGTGTTGGGTAATATTCTGACGTGTTTTATTGGTTAAAGCAATTTTGTCTTTATCGTATAATAATTATTGTGCATTTCAATGCTTTTGATCATTTCACTTTAGCCTGATGCTCGATTTTTAATAAATAGAGGTCGTTTTATTAAGTTAAGGTCTATAAAAAGTACAAATCGATCTAGCTTGACTAGCTGATATATCGAGCTACTGCAGCCAAATCGACCGCTCGGGATCGATCAACCACCAAATCCTCATCGATATCCTGTAATTCGAACCTTTTTGCCGTTTTGAAATGCTAATTAGATCACAGATAAAACAAATCGATGCCTCCCTCTTCCCATCTCATTTTTATGCGTGGTTTCATGCTCGACCATGTTCGATCTAGGCAATAAAACGGATGAACATTCCATCTGCAAATCACAATAAATGTTTTTTTCATATTTGGTTTAATAATATACACCCCGCAGTAAATGAGCCATTTTAGTACCTATATTTAAACGGACTTTAGTAATTATATAAGCTTCTTTACAGTTTGCAACATGGCGAGGCCCACGTGCAAGGCCAATATTGACCTGCTTCTGCTGAATCCGCAGCAATCTTCAATGAGCTCACGGGCGCGCTGCGCCTTTTGCAGGAAGCTGCAGTGTGGCTACGCGCTCCGCACAATCAGCGGACGGGACACCGTGCAGCGCTGTACTGCCTGCGAGAGCGGCCCAAAAGTAGTTAAGTTCTGGAAGGAAAAGCCCGTGCCACCTGATTCGGCCGAAGTGCGCCGCCAGGAAAGCCTGGCGACAAAGGCGATGGGCCCTAAATGGTACCCCAAGAAGAAGAAGAAGAAGCGCAGCCGCCCTTGCAAGCTGACCGCCCGAAACGCCAAGTACATCGAGCAAAAGTAGCAGCAGAAGAGCAAGTAATTGGTAAATATACCCTTTAGGCCCCCATTTTCCTACCTATATTTGTATTTAGTATACTGGTTGACGGTACGAGGCTTGGAGCCGCACATACGGTAACTGACTATGGCGCTGCCAATAGTGCTGACGCACCTACAGAGGGTAGCGCCTTTCAAATATTAATTAGCGCATGGTGTCTACTGTGAGCCCTTGCAAGCTGACCGTCCCTATCTGCTTTCGCGTAACAATAGATCGAGAGTACACTCGCTCACTTGGATACATGCAAACCATGCTATCTGTGACATCAGCGCTCACAGCGTATGTTCCATTAATGTGCGCTCACAAATTGAAACTACAGCATCGAGTGAGCACTACACGCGACGATTAAGTTGCTGTCTACATAGATACGAGCAAGTGTGCGGTAGCGCAAACAATACCGGTGGGTGTGGTAAGTCGAACTGTCAAACGCAGTACTATACTTTAGTGCCCTGTCCATAATGGTCAAGATAAGAGCTCGGCTCAGTCGCGGGTAGCTATAAGGTGTACCCACCGCGCGCGTAGATACTGCGTTGAATACAGGTGACAGACGCGCGGTCAGCTTGCCAGTATCGCTGCAGTATGGCCTGTGCCCAGTTAGTGACCTGCTTGGTCATATAAACTGATACATCAGAAGCGTAAGCACAGTAAGCCAGCACGACGACGCAAATGTACCGAGAAAGCGACAGTGATCCTATACATAGGTTTTAGATATCACGTGCGCGTGGTATACACACTCATTAACGACCTCGCAATATATGCACGGATACATCAAATAGCACGCCGAGTTGATAAGTAGGCAGCAAAAGTACTTCATATAATGTACATGAGCGACGATTCGAATCAAGTCTAAGATATCTACGATCTGATAATCTGCCTACAGTTATGTGGCTTCCTATATTCGTCATACATATCGGAGCCAGTAAATGTCGCTCGAAAGGGTCTACGCCACTCTATCAGTCAGAATCTATGCAAATAAGTCAGTATGTGCGGCAGCTATGCAAGTCGAATCAATGCATGTGGAAACACCCTTCAGTAATATCATAATGAGCTCTGCGGAACAATTGCAACGCATAATATTGGTGTTTGTCGCGACTATCGGCAAAATCTACCTGTCCTAAAAGATACTTCGCGTGAGGAGCTGACTAAACCTTTCTCTAATAGACCGTCGCAATCAATGATATGGTGTCCACTGCCTCACGGTGATGACGTGACAGATGATATTATGTTTAAGTAGGCGTATTTAATCCAGCTAAACTGGGATTCCTCACCGATATATGCCAATTTTGGATCATCACTGATACTGACATGTCTTCTGAACAACATTTGTTAGCTTTGCAGCCACGCACGCCTCCAATTGGCGTCATTTTGGGAGCTATGCACTCATATGAGACTATAGACAAAACCTCCCGGGTAAGATGGTGCTCAGCTTGCAGATCACGTTAAACCCTCGTCATGTCTACCATAATATGTGAGCACTCAGGATATTGTGTGCGGTGTTGTTTTGAATCATAACATAAGTAGAACACGACATATATATTAAATGTTGCTTTGCGTTAAACAAGCTAAGCCCACCGCATCGCAGCGGAGGTGGTCCACCGTCTCTACACCAACCAACCATGCCCTAGCGTCCGCGGAGCGGGCGCCCAGAGCGCTAGTTTAGCGCTTCCTTACCGAGTTACCTGTCTGTCCGTCCGTCCGTCGCTTTCCTCCCTTTCTGCCTTTTCCTGCCTTTTCGCATGGCTACACCCGGCCTGTCTTATACAGCTTCTTCCCATCTTGCCGACCGCGCCTATCTTTCTGACTCGACCTAGCTATGCCAAAATTACAAATATATTTAAAAGCGTCACACAATTAACTCGCGCCCAGATTGGGCAATACCTGCCGACCTGCGACACTGACTGGATCTGTTGCACGATCAGACCGTCTCTCGCCCTCGCGATTGGACGTAATGTAAACATTTGTGCAGCGAACGAAACACATCGATTGGATGTAAGCACCAACGCGAGTGTGCTGACAATTGCGTATCTACATTTAGCTACGCAAAACGTATCGTATGTACTGCAAATCGGGCACCGTAACCAGCCCATGCATTTAAAGCTCTGCGATGTTTATTTCCACACGTTTTTCAAAGTAGAGACGATACTATTTTTATTAGTATTATTATTACTAAATGAGGCTCCACGACCTGTGCGTTATTATAGTTGCACCCGGACACAGCACTGCGGTACTTACGTGGTGGTGTTGTTATTGCTGAAAAGTATGTTTGGTTTAAAATTAATAAAATCATTATTTAAGCTATTGCCAAAAAATAAAATATTTTTTTTGTTTAATAATCATACCAGCATTAAATGGCCGTGTATTGGCTAATATAATATCATGTTTATGATATAATAATACTATTTAATATTTTGCTAATATTATACACCCAGCCGTAAGTATCCGTTGGAATACCTAATATTTTTACGCACGTTAGTAATTATAAAAATTTCTTTACAGTTTGCAACATGGCGAGGCTCACGTGCAAGGCCAATATTGGCCTGCTTCTGCTGAATCCGCAGCGATCTTCAATGAGCTCACCGGCGCGCTGCGCCTGTTGCAGGAAGCTGCAGTGTGGCTACGCGCTCCGCACAATCAGCGGACGGGACACCGTGCAGCGCTGTACTGCCTGCGAGAGCGGCCCGAAAGCGGTTAAGTTCTGGAAGGAAAAGCCCGTGCCACCTGATTCGGCCGAAGTGCGCCGCCAGGAAAGCCTGTCGAACGTCAAGAAGGCGATGGGTCCTGACTGGTACCCCAAGAAGAAGAAGAAGAAGCGCAGCCGCCCTTGCAAGCTGACCGCCCGAAACGCCAAGTACATCGAGCAAAAGAAGCAGCAGAAGAAAAAGTAATTGGTAAATATACCCTTTTAGGCCCTTAACCCCGCTTATCTTTGTAATTTGTATACCGGCGGGCAGCGCAAGGCTTGGGACCGCACATACGGTAAACTGACTGTGGCGCTACCAAGTGTG